ATCAATAATCAAATATAAATGATTTTATTCAAAAACTACTTTAAATATGTAATTTATGTTGATTATATAATGTTAAATAAAATTGATTAAAAATAGCTAAATAAGCATTAATGAGATTTAATACTCAATTATTATAATAATATGTCAAGAATGAAATAACAATCATAAAAATATAAAGATCTCAGAAAAAAGATAGAATTCACTTTAGAATAAAATATTTGCATTTTTCTTTTCTTGTTTTTGACTTATTATGACGAAAGTATTCTCATTTTCTTAATTACAGTCAAGTATTGGTAAATTTTGTGGACCATACCTATTTTGGTATTTTGTAAAATAATAGAAAATTAATGACTTAGGAAAAACTATGAAAGTGTGTTTTTTAAGAAATTTAGTTTGATTAGATATCATAACTTAATTGATTCATTAAAATAAACATTTTATAATCAAAATAATTCAATAGGAGTTTTTTAAAAGAAAAATACAATCAATTCTATACTGATATTTATAATAGTTTTAGTTTATCAGACATATGAAAATTATTTGAAAATCGTGATCAAATCTAAGATATCCAAGCATTAATTCCGTGAAATTTAATTCACATGTTGTAACCTAACTTTTCAAATACATAAATTAAATGATTATTATTATTAACACATTTAGAGAAAATTATATTATCATTTCTGTTTTTTTTTTTTAATTTTATAAGTTACAAATTCTAAGATAATAGGTATCAATATTTAAAATATATTCTGTGAGTAGAGAAGTAATATTGTATGAATAGATCAACGAAATTAATTAATTTGAAGCGATTGAAATGGAATTAATTAAAATCTTTTGATTAAGGTTGTAACTTCAAAATATAAATTTTGAGGAAGATATGTTGAGCAATTAAATTAAACAATACAAATAACAGTTTAAATATGCATTTGTTATTTTAATCATTTAATAATATTTACTTTATACTTATGAATCCATTCACTATTGATAATTCAATACCACCACTTAAAAGAGTCAAAGAAAGACTAGTAGGAGATGCAATACTCAAAGTAAATCAATGGAAAATGATTCTCTTAAATGGGATTCCTTAATCTGATGGCAGTACAATGAGATTAACCCTCAATAAAGCAGCAGAGATAATAGGAATTCCTAAAAAAAGTTTAGAGGATTATAATCAACTATTTAAAAAAGTTACATTGCTGACAGATGTAAACCAATTTGCAAATGAAAAAATGGGAGTACTTAGAAATTACTTAAGAAAAAATTCGAAAAGACTCAAAAAAATATTAAAAAGTTAGAAAGTCTAAGAAAATATAAAAACAAAATAAAAAAATAAAAATTTAGATAATTATGTTCATCAATGTCAATCAGATATGATTGGTGAATGCTATATCAAATAGGATGAAGAAATATATGAAATTGGATAGTAGTCTATGTCAAATTAATCAATTTTTTAAAAATAAGATGAAACTTCAATGATAAAATTAGAAGAAGATTGTAATATGTTCAATGAATTTGAAAAAGATTATGAATCTGATTTAGAAAGCAATCCATCCCCTCTTGGTGTAAGTTTTATCTTCAGAAATAAGTAAACAGAGTATCATCAACATTTTGAATAATTTTGATTAAAACAGTTACATTTAGTTATTATATTTGATTGGTAATATATAAAACTTATTATGTATACGTTAAAATTATAATCAAAGAATTATTTTATAAAATGAATTACTTATATTCCAAATATATTAAAATTTTAATACTTAATTCGCTGAAATGAATTCATTACCTCGATTGACAAGTTAAAGCATAAATTGTCACATTAACAACAACTCAGATTTCTTAAGTGGAAGAAGATTTTAACTTGGAGAAAATGTCCTATACAGAATACATAAGCAGGCTTTATCAGAATATTTGAAGTCCGGAGTTATTGACTAGAAAATAGTTCAATTAAATTTGCTCAAACTGAGTAAACTAAATAGCGAAGATCTTTCTATATTGAAAGATGTCTATAAATAAGCTTATTCTAGTAGATTTGAATAATAATAAGCAAAAAATATATTATCTAAAGTAAAGATAATTAAATAATTCAAGATAAAGACTCAAAGACATCCAAAAAACTTAAATTTGAATGAAAAGAATTAAGTAGAACTAAGTTAGGAAGAAATAGATTTTATGTCAGTTGAAGAACAATTGTACTATTTATACAGATATTCAATAGAAAACAATGTCTAAGATCTAAAATAAACACATCTAAGGTCTTTAATGGAACCTACCTCATAGATCCAACTATAAATGATCTTAAGAAAATTAATTTTCAAGGAAAGAGATAATTGCATAATTTACTAAATATAGAACCTAAGAAAAAATTATAGAAAAAAACATCAATGTTGCAAAGATAATCTAGCATCTTAAACCCTTTGCATTGTAGAAAGCCATCCATACATAGTATGGAAGTGGAAGATGTTACTGAATACATGTCATCCAAAATATTGGAATCAAAAGCTAACATTGATTAATTAGTGGAAAGATTTAAAAAACCTGAAATATCAGAAAAATAATAATACTTCTTTAGGTTAGTCTAAAATTGTGATTGCAAAGCGATATAATCATTCTTTTAGGATATTTCTTATGATCCATCCATTATAAATACGCCAGATGAAGTACTTTTTGTGAAAAAAATTATTTTAGAAAGGATTTTATTCAATTCACATAGCAATTAAGAAACAGAATCCATAATTGCTAATGTTACTTTTAAAAAACGGTGCAAGAACTGATTTACTAACTAAGAATGGAAAGTCAGTATAATAGCTTAGTTTAATTTATCAGAATTCGGAAATTTTAGAAATTTTAGAAGGACTAAAATATTATTAATGAAATAAAATTCACTAATTAATTTATTTATTTTTCAAAAAATTACATATACATGATTAATCTTTTACATTAAATCACACCAAGTACTGACCTTATAATCTTTGTATTTAAACCTCCCCTATATTTGAATTGGTATTTTTCTTAGGGACTAATAAGAACATATTGATATAATTCCATAATGAGATTTGATAGAAATAATGAGCATCAGATTCATTATCAATCAAAAATTATTACTTTAATATCTTATAGAGAAAATGGAAATTCGTATAGCTGTTAACAGATTAAATATTAAATTGTCATAGCCAGCAAACCAACAGGTAGTACTATCCAAATTACTCGATTTCAACCATTCCATAATTGTGAGAATTTATTAATAAGAAAAACTCAAGACTTTCAAGAAAATTGTTTTTGAAATTAGACAATTGCTAAATTAAAATTAGATACGGTTACTTTCATCCAATTTAATAAAATTCTTCTTGAAAACCCTAACTCATCTATTCCATACCTATTCAACAAATTTTACAAAGATTTGTCGAAGGCGAAGAACTACAAAGACTTAAATTATCGTAAATTCTTAAGTCGATAATATTTGAAAAATAATTCCTTTAAAATTTTATAGTTTAAGAATTATGCAATAAGTTAGAATTTAACATTTAATTTAAGGATTTAGATTCTTAAGTAGAAACACTTGTATATAAAAATAGCACTACTTGAAATAATTAATTTTGCATAGTTGTTTGAGATAATTAATTATAATTTGCTGATTTCATAGCATTAATCCTTTGAATTTTCTATGATTTTTTGGTTATTCTTAATTCCAGACTAAGCCTCAATTAACGCATTTTTGACAACTTATTATTATTAATGCAATTCTAGTCAATTTATTAGCCTTTTGAATTTTCAAATTCCATTTTTTGTTTTTTTTATTTATTGAAGTAAAGACTATAAATAGGTAAAATTATCAGATAATTTGGAGTCTAACTTGAGTTCTTAATTGATTAACATTCTGTTATAAATTAAAATGAAATAATTATTTCTGAATTATAGGAAGAATAATGAAATGAAAAAAAACACATATCAAGTACTATCTCAATAAAAATAGTATTATTAAGATTTAATTTCGGAATGGGGAGACTGTTTTATAAGATGGGTATAGTGAGAATGGGAACAAAATCAAAAGAGCATATTTCAATTTTGTTATTCCTCTTAGGACTTTTAAGGAAAATATCATTTACTTTCTCCTGCTTGTTCTATAGGTTTTCTCCTCTTAAGCCTTATATTTTGTAGCTATTCTTTTGGTAATACAACAATGGTTAGTGGATTTACATAATTTTATAAAAATTAGAAAAATGGATTAAATGGTGAATAGTCAAGAAGCAAGAGTATTAAAGTAATGGGATGAATGCATTATCAATAAAGAGATCATTGAAAAAATAAAGGAAAGATTAAATAAGTAAGATTAAAGTGAGAGTAATTAAAGATAAAAGAGTAGATCATAAGTTGATAAAAACTCATAACTAAAAAAATTTGATAATGCATAATATCAGAAAAAAGGCACTATAGTTTGTAAATTGTTAACATAATTTTAAGCTAATGTATCCATCCCATTTTAAAATATATCATATAAGTAACAATAGAGCAATAAAAATATCCGAACTGAAAATGCAAATAAATACAATCAAATGAGTCCTTTGATATACAAGGATATGGCTTTAAAATTAAAATAGGTTTAAATTTTGGAAGATGATCCATTAATAATTGAATTTAAAAAAACAGTTCCTAGTATGTTTTTAAGAGATATCACGCCAACTGCATAGAGGATACCCTTAAATGAAAAGTTGAAGAAAATGGAAAAGGATAAAATGAATTTAATTAAAATCTAAAATGTTGAGAATATAATGATAGGAGATGTTATTATTTTAGAAAGAAACCAAAGAGCACCTTGTGATATTCTCGTTTTACATTGTAATGATGAAAATTTCTGTGTATAGCATCAATTATGCGATTATTCTTCTACAACAGTCAGAAAACCGGTTGTTTAAAATAGATGTAAGAGTTTAAATTATTCCTTAAGCTGATTCTTAGAACTTAGCCTAATTTAAGAAATCTTTGACAGGTAATATAGTATGTCATGAACAAAATTTTTAAATAAAAGGATTCTTTTAATTAAAAAAGGATCCGCAATCAAGACTATTCGGATTTGAGAATTTTATATTTTGTTAAGAAAGATTATTGGCCACTCCATGGGTATTGGGAATAGTAGTAAAAGTAGGAAACAGTTGCTTATGCTATGCCAGACTTTTAGGCTAACTTAGATTCGAGAATACTCAATTTGTATCATACTACATTGTAGTTTTGGTTATTATAATTGTAATAGTTAAAATAAATTTAAGATTTAAATCATTGTTTTCAATTAAAATGACTTTTTAAAGAATTTGAGATCAATTACTTAAATTATCATTGATAATTGTGTATTTTTGATTTTGATGGTTCCCCATTTCTATAAAATTTACTACAAAACTTGTAGTATTATACAATTAAAAGGAATAGGAAATATAGATTAAAAGTAGATTATGTCTTGTCATATTGACAAATATATAGATAAATAATATCTAACAGTAAGTGTAGATGCTTTTATTGAGCAATCCTTTTAACTATAATGTATAATATATGATAATAAATTATGTGAATTCGAGGAATAAAAGTTCATCTAATCTTTAATTTAAATTTGTTCTGGTATCAAAGCATAGAGTGAAGGTAGAAATCCTGAAAAAGAAGGTATAATTCAATTTAATTTTCTTAGAATAAGAAGATATTCAACAAGGTTCTCAAGTTATAAATTACCTTATGCAAAGTTCATGCTCAGATGAACTGATGAGTTAAAGAGAATGCATAGTGAATTAAATTCCAAAATCTGTTGAAGGCAGATTTATTTTCTATTAACAATCTGAATCAAAGGAAGACCTCAATTTAAACCAAATAGCCTTAATCTAACATGATTAAACTTCAAAAGACAAAACTCTTGTTGACAATCATGATGGATATAATGATACAATCCAAAGAGCAAGCAACCCTATTCGAAATTCAAAAGGATATTAGTTCTCAAAAGATTAATTTAAATAGGAAGATTATTTTATAGATGAGGAAAAGTTATGCAGGAACATGATGAGAAATGATGATCCAGATGAACTGAATCCATTATTGCTATAATTAGCAATGAATCATCTGGCTTTTTCTAAGTTATTAATTACAGAGAAGAAAGAATAAAAAGTAAAAAATAAGTTCTTGGGATAACTAGATTAGAAATAAGTAAGTTTAGCAAAAGCTATGGGTTATGAATTCTTATGCGTCAATAATGTTTAGTAATATATTCTATATTATATTTAGGAATGTCTAACACTACATAGTTTAGATTAATGATGAACTGCATTCATTCAAATTAGTCATAACTAAATTGGATATTTAAAGATAAAGACTTTTCATGTTATTTGAAGTGGTTGAATTTTATTAGGATAACGATAAATAATTTATTCTCTTCTTGAGAGAAGGTAACGTAAAGAAGAATGAGGGAATAGATGATAAAGTATGGAAACATTAATATGATTCACTCCACTACATTTACTATTCATATTGTTATCTAACCTAAGAAAGTGCAAGTGTCTTTTTGTAATCAGTAGAGAGTAATACTCCAGATAATTAATTATATACTTTGATGGAATAGGTATTCAAATTAAATATTATATTGGGACTTAAATATACATTAAAGTCTGAATGCTAAGATTTTATGAAAAATATTAGGAAATCAGATTATCAGATGTTTGTATACACTTAAAATTAAGAAATCTTTTCTACTTCCATATTGTATTAGTCAGAGCTATTATTATAGAATGATTTGGTCTTACATTTCAACTAGCAAAATGAAGAGGATTTACGTGCTTACTTTAAATAGAGTCTATAAGATTTTTCTAATACATTTGGTCATGCAAGCATTAATTCTTCCCAATTTATCAAAATATAGGCTCTTAACTCTTAAAAGCAAATAACTGTAGATTAAGTGGATGAAAAGCCTAGAACAAAGAAAATAATTGTGATTATGAACAATTAATCATTGTAATTCATAATGGAAAATCATTATTTCAAGAATAATCTAAAATTAATCCTCAGCTTCACCAAAGTGCTATTTCTTTATTAGGCTACTCAGGATTAACTAAATGCTATTTAAGAAATATGGTGCACTTCAAATAAAACCATTAATCTGTTATATGAAAACTAAAGCTTATTACGCTGTTTCAGTGGGTGTCAATTATAAATATTATAGTTACAATAATTCAGCTTATTTAAAAATCAAAAAATAGAGAAGGTAGAAAAAAAGAACTTCTTCTCATCACTTATTACATCCTTATAATAGAGATTGATATTTGAAAAATGCTACTTTAATGAAATGCAAATCAATTCAAATACTGATGTCATTTTACAAAGTTATAAAGAATTGGATAGACTTTTATTCTTTTAAAGTCCCCTGATGAAAATATTCTTTAGAGCTTTATATTAACAAACCATTTACAAAACAATAACTTTTGTTACTTCCTTTACATTTGTTACTATCATTTACACATGGTACACTCTAGACTTAATGGATTATTTATTGGAAATCGTATTTTATTTCTACATATACTAATTCTTTTTGTTTTCCCTACAACATTATTCTTTTATTGATTAATCGAAGAAATTAAAAGATAATAAGGATTAATCAATATTATTGTAAAAATATTCATAACACACTTTATCGATGGAAAGTATTCTCATTATGGTTTTTAAGCACATTATTCAAGGTCTTCTCATTTCATGCATTTTTATTTATAAAATGTATGATCTGGAGTACTATTTGTATATATTTATGTCCATTAGTATTAATGATTGGCTTTATCTGATTATAAATTTGAATTTTATCGAAGCAATTATTTTAGCTGCTCTTTTCCCTATCATATTTTACATCTATATATTATTAGATATGAATCAAAATAGTGAATGGAATTAATTAGTCGATACCTATGATGTATTTTCAATTATTTTAGGGACATCCTTCCTCTTAATAACAAATCTTGTGTTTGATTACTTGGAGATTTAACATTGCATCAGCTTACCTATCTTTAATGATGATTTTCTATCTTATTTAAATTATATACAAATGATGATTAATTCAAAATAAAAAAAGAAAACACTGACCATATTATAAAATAGAGTGAACGAACTTTTTGAAAATATTGAATAAGTAGATTTGAGTATATAAAAATGTATAATATCAAATTTATTCATTAGTGCTTATCAATTAATAAAATAATTAAAGCAAATTTGGATAATGGCGTTAATAGATATTTAAGAAGGCTCATACAATATTAATGTGGAAGAAGAAATAAATAATTCAAAGTTTCTAATTGCTATTCTATCATACAACATTTATAATTATCATGTACTTTTATTAGGAACGAATGGATTTTTTTTTAGTTGACTATTTAATAATCTTTTGTCTCCAAGGATTTTATTTTGCTATCTAGATCTTAATTAAATTACCAACAAATTAATAAGAATATTTAGAGTATGGAAAGTTCTTTTTATCAACAGCCGCTACAATTTCTATACTATTTGTAATGAAATCTATTGATAATATCAATTCTACTTTGACAATTTAGTACTTTGTAGCATATGAATTATCAATAAAATTTCATCCTATTTATGACTTTAGAGTTTATATCACAACAGCTATTGCAACAATGATTGGATATATTGCTTGGTATATTGTTGAAAATAGTTCGAACATTTCAAATTAGATAGCTGTGATACAATTTTTGGTGCTTTTTTCAGTTTTATAATACTTTGTAAAGAGTTATGTAAATTATTAACATTATTTCTTAAGTTCATTTAATTAGAAGAAGATTAAGCCTAAAATAAACTAAATTTTATTGAATAAAATAATAAGATTAATGACATATTAGGTATTTTGTTACCTAAATTCATTCGAGATCGATTAAATGAAAGTAATTATCAATTAAATTATAAATAGCTGATCAATATAATATCCATTAAAATTAGGGTTTAGTAGCAATTGTATTTTGTGATATTTGTAATTTCGATTAAATGGTTATTGAAGAAAAAGATAAAATTATCACTTTTTTGGATGACATTTTTCGAACATTTGATAAATATTGCTAAATTTACGGAGTTCAAAAAATAGAAACTGTTGGTAAGACATATTTAGCATCTGCTGGTCTAAAGGCTTGTGAATAAGAACTGACATATCTATCATAGGTTGATCCTGTTTAAAGGGCCCTAAATTTAGCCGAATAGATGATTATTTATATACGATCAAAAATGTAAATTTTTAGATTACAATAGGTGGGGTTATAAAGGGCAATAGTTGGTTGGTAAAATTGGTATTCATTATGGTGGAGCTATAAGTGGAGTCATAGGATTTCATAAGCCTCAATTTTCATTGATTGGTGATACAGTTAACACCACCAGCAGAGTTTGCTCGACTGGATTAGAGGACACTATTACATTATCAGAGCAAGCATTTGATTAATTAAAAAATGAAAATATTGAGTTTGAAATAAGAAATGTTGAAATGAAAGGTTTAGGTATAAGACCGACCTACATTTATAAATGTAAAATTTAGAACAAGGAAAATCAATTTTCAATGCCACTTGAATAAGATGCTTAAAGTAAGGAAGCAAGAAGCTAGTATGTCGTTAGAAAGAATCCTGAAATATTTAAGAAAGATCTTAAAAAAAGGAAAACCATTCTAACTTAGATTGATACAATGAAGTAGAAGATGGATTCAATGCAAGAGTAAGGGGCTCCGAACGTTTTTGGAATAAAACCCATAGATCCTACTTATTATTAACCTTACGAAGACAAGTCAAGACATTCAATTCAATTATTATCCAAGCAAGGATCTGATGACAACCACATTAAGCAATCACAATCCAAACCTAGTACATTCAAAAGATTAGTTACTATGCTATAGAATAAATTTTAACTTGAAAATTATGAACCTGAAATTGATGAACTAATAGACTATGAATAATTATTGGTAAAATTTTATGAATTAATTAGAGAATGTCATACTATTAAAGAATGAATATACACTAGAACACAATATAATTAAAGAAACCTCATTTATATAGTTATTGTAAATATCTTATTATAAGAAATAAATGAATCAATTTGTGAGTTATGAATAATATTAAGAGTTTGTAAAGACTCAATCAAAAAATCAAACTGTTCAAAATTTAAGAATTTATGCTCTTTACTATCTGATTAAATTGTTTTGTCAAATTCAATTTTATGGAGATTTAAATTTTGGTTTGATCATTTTGTAGTGGTTGTGTAGTTTACTTAATTTAATATAATTTTTAATCAATAATAAATCGCTTTTTGAAAAGTGGAAAATATGCATAAAATTGCTATTATGTTTTGAAGCTTTACTTAGTGGATTAGTAATAATTTTGGATGAAAATAATTACTTAAAAAATATTCACGTCTATGAATTAATCTTTATTTAATCATTGTTTTGTAGTATTCAAATATTAAGCTTTTGGGTTAAAGTATTATTTTGTATTGGAACTGCTTTCTATTTTACAATAATCTTAGCAGTAGATGGAACCCAAGCTATATCTATATATTTTATCATTATCAGTTCACTATATAACATCACGTTGATCTTATTGATTGAACAATAATAAGTTGGATGTTTTAATTAAAAAATTATATTCAAAACTTAATAATAAAAGGAATCATAATTGCTGTAGTATTTACTTCCAAAACATATCCTTAATAAATTTTTAGATGACAAAATTGGTAATATTGGGATTTGTGATAAAATTGATGATCTGACAATACTATTTGCAGATATTGCAGGTTTTACTGAATATTCTAGTAAAGTCAAACCAGAAGAAGTATTGGTAATGCTCAAAAATTTGTTTGTTGAATTCGATCGAAAATGCTGCGATTTGAATGTTTATAAATTATATACTATTGGTGATTGCTATGTGGCTATAGGAATGATTGATTATCACAATAGAAATCCTCATTAGGAGGCTAAGAATATTATTGATTTAGCCTTTGAAATGATCAATATTATTGCTTAGGTCAGGAAATAAATCAATTTTGATGGGCTTAACATGAGAATAGGAGTTCACACAGGGCCTGTTTTTGGAGGAGTTATGGGTACAGATATTGTTAGATATGATATTTATGGACCAGATGTACTTATAGCTAATAAGATGGAATCGAATGGAGTCAAAGGGTATGTACAAGTTAGTTAATAAACTAAAAAGTTCTTAGAAGAAGATTATGCGAATATGTTTAGATTTGAATAGAATGTTACTCTTGAATTGAAAGCTATTGGAAGATAAATTGAGGGTTATTTAGTGAAAAGGTAAGAAGATGATCATCTTAATTAATAAGATGGCCCACTTTGAGTTTCTGATATTACTATTGTTTTTTTAATAATTAAATATTTTAAATATTAACTCATCATTTTATTGTTCTTAACGGTTTATATTACTGCGCTGATGCTACTAATTGACGCTATTAGACAAACATAGTAGGTCTCTGTACAGTGGCAGCTCTTTATTTGAAATATGACGTCACTCTTTGAGGAGACAAAGATGAATTTACTTATGCTGGCTAGATAATGCTTTATTTTTGCATAAGTAAATTTTAAGAATGCATAATTGGTTAATGTAGGGTTTATGGATGAATTAATTTTGGAGTAGAGACAGTAGAAATGCCTTGAGTAGGAAATGCAGTCGCATTCACTTGCTTTAGTTATTATTACGAAGCTGTTTGATGTTATATAGATAATCTTTGGTTAAAGATCTGACTTTAGTGAACAGAATTATCTTAAATTAAGATATTCCTAGAGTTTTAAGGTGTTGATTGATATGGGAAATAATTAGGTTAGAGTATTGAGTGTTGAACTGAATTGACTAATTAATAGTAAACAACTTATGGATAGAATTACTAATTCGAAACTCCTCCTTTTTATGATTGCTTTATTGATTGTTTAGATTATTATGATTGTTATTATAATTATTATGGCTATTGTAAGGGCTATTATTTTGGTTGGGGCTATTTAACTAATTGAGGTTATTTTTATGTTGATAATCTATCATTTGTTATTATTAGAGGGTTTTATTTATTACCTAAATATTTTGGTAAGATTTTTTCAAGGCCTTCCCCAAAATATGTAACCTTAGCTGATAATTCAACCTATTAAGAAAATGAAAAACCACAATTTTTGACCCATTTTTAATCCCTATCCAAATAAAATTTTTTAGCTGTTTCTGGTGTATCACTTTTTTCTCCTGGAGCATTTTTGACAGGAGCAAACTCATCTTCTCTTCTTACCTCAATCAAACCAAATTATTCTTTAGAACAAAGAGGGATACAATCAAAATAAAAGAGTTCAAATTTCAAGGCGTTTATACTTTCTGGTTTAATAACTTTTCTTTGATTTAGATCATAGTAATCATATTTCTTTTACGCAACATGATAACTATTATCTAAAATAAATTTACTTAGCAGCTAATTTACTTCTAATTTATGGATCTTCATATATCTTATATGTAAATTCAACTGTACAAATCATTTAAGCGATTCCACCTGCATCATAAAGTAAGTCTCCTTTATCATTCGTTTTATGCAAATCTTCCTATGTCATTTCACTATACTCTAATCTAAATTTAAATATTCACCTATCATACAAGGCGTATCATTGATTAAAACATGCATTCCTACCTTTTCTTCAGCATATGCTTTTTTAACAAATTTACTACTAATAGTTAAATTGTTCGCTTCTGTATATCCAATCCAAATAGGATCACATAGTTTACAAAGAACATTATCTACTGGGCATATGTGAATGTATTTAATGCCCAAACATTTCATATAATCCAAATAACCCTGATTGTAGAGACTATTAAAAATTCCTCCATTTCCTATTCAAAGATAATTTTAGTTTTCTTACCATCTGGACCTTCCAGAATGGATGTGTGATCATTTAACATGATTTCTCCATCTGTTGACAAAATAGGAAGGGAATCTTGCTGAAAAAAGGTGATTTAATCAGATTGAAGATTGAAATAGTTATTTTCAATAAAATACTGGGTTGTCTCTTCATGATTAACATCAGAAGTCAGTATAAAGAATTAAATAGGTAAGCATTATCCCATAGTGATTTGGATCATATTTTAAAGACTTAAAATGCGTTCACAAAAAATTTGAAAAAGAGTTTTATGAGAAGGCAAACCAATATCATACATACCCTTCGCCTTATTAAAACCCAATCTTGTGCCTTAACCCCCTGCCATCATTGCTATGCAAACTTGATAGTTATTAAATTTTATCGATACCCTTTCCTTCTGAAATTAATTTTTCTCCCAACTTTTAATACTGTTGAAGAGTTTCTTTAGAAGTAGAGGAAACTTTCAATACATTTCGGATTGGATTGATGTTACGATTCTCGTTAAGCTTTTCTTTATAATGACTAAAAACCTAGAGTAGCAATTTAAGCTTACATCTAGTAGATTTCTAATATTAATAGATTCCAATTTTTCTAATAACTTCTCCTAATCCTTTTTCTCCAAAGTGCTGAGGTAGTTTAGAAGATGATGCTATTTGGATTCTTAGTAATCTTACAAGTTTGACACCTTCTTTCTCATTTTGGATATTTATTTTATATATTTATTAAAATTCAAAGTGTTCAGTTATCATGATAGGTTTAGATTAATGTGGAAAAATGAAAATGTTATATTATTTTTACAGAAATTAAGCTTGATATATCCACTTATCTATGAATAATTTGATTAAATTTTAATATTGATAATGAGCTAGAAAAAAGTTACTATTCAGGAATATATCACAAACAAAGTGAAACCAGTTTTTGATCAACTAATAGCAAGGATAGTCATAGAGAAACCAGATGATGTTTATGAATGGTCGATAAATTGGTTGTAAAATTAAAGTAAATATCGATCAAGATGATTTAAGAAAGCGGTACCTAAGTGTATTAACTTATAAATCACGATCTCAGCGAAGAAGAAGAGGAGGAGGAGGAAGTAGTTTTAGAGTTAAAACAACAATAAAAGCAACAAACTAGAGCAGCAGTTTCCGCTGAAGTTTATGGAGATTACAATAAAAAGGAAGATTTTAAACCCAGATTTATCCAGAAATCAGAAGCCTAAATTGAAAGGATAAAGAAAAGAATTCTAAATTCGTTTATGTTTTAAGCTTTGGATGAAAAAGATTTAAACATTGTACTAGGAGCAATGGATGAAAAGAAATTTTAGTAAGATTTATACTTACCTTATTTAAGAGTTGGAGAAGTGGTAATTAAATAAGGTGATGATGGAAATGAGTTGTATGTTATTGATGAAGGAAGATTGGAATGCTACAAAAAGTTTACAGGATTGGAGGAAGAGAAATTGTTAAAGACCTATATTCCTGGAGAATCTTTTGGTGAATTGGCCTTATTATATAATGCTCCAAGAGCTGCTACAATTAAGGCCATAGATGAAGTCACAACATTTGCTTTGGACAGAGAAACGTTTAATAACATAGTCAAGTTTTCTGCAATCAAAAAGAGAGAATAGATGGAAGAAATCCTTAGCAAAATTGAATTGTTGTAGTCTATGGATAATTATGAACGAATATAATTATGCGACGTTTTTAAAGAAGAAAAGCATAAGGCAGGTGAAACGATTATTAATGAAGTAAATTTTAATTAATTAAAGGGTGAAATTGGAGATAGGATATATTTGATTATTGAAGGAGAATTAGAGGCTTATTGGAAGGGTTAGACTGAAAAGGTCTATGATTACAAGCCAGGAGATTACTTTGGAGAATTGGCTCTATTAAAGAACACTCCAAGATAAGCTACTGTCATTGCAAAAGTAATTGGAATATATTATCTAGACTGATGTTGTGTTATTATATTGTGATTTCAATTCATTCAGAAGATTGATGGGTCCCTTAGAGGAAGTACTTAAAAGAAATACTGAAAGATATGAAAAATATTTACAATAATGATTATAATTAGACACAAATATTTATTATATATGATTTAAAAAAATGTAAACGAAAAATTGATGTACAAATATCCTACATTGACGGAAGAATAAAAATATATATTAGAGCAATTACTATCTCAAAAAGATCTATTCTCTTCATTTCCTCTAATTTAAGCTTTGAACGGCTTAAGCAAGAAAAAATTAATAGGATTAGAAGAAGCAATTTTACAACTAGATTAAAATTAGAGAGTTTTGTTTTTTTAGCATGCTCTTCCAAAAATGGCTCAATATTCTCTGGAATTACTTAATTCACCTCCAAAAAAAGAATTACTAGAATCTTAAGGGACTGTTCAATTCACACGAAAAGAAATTTATTCATTTTTATCATTAGCATTTTTTGGATTGTTAAAAGTTCAACATGAATCATTTCCTCCACATTGCAATTTATACTTCATACTCAAAGAATAGCCTGAAAAAGCTAAATGCTATCTTCATTATTTTATTACGGCTAATAAAAATTTGGAAGATGAGTTAATTACATTAGAAAGGATAGAATTCGATGCGAATTACCATATTCAACAATTTTTCCAGAATAATTAAGGAAACTAAATTCTTGATATAAAATTGTGGTCTAATTGCGATAAAAGCCTTTAAAAATTCGAATTTGTTGATACATTTTTAGAAGAATAATAAAATGCTGTAATTGTTGACTTTGCTAATAAATATGTAGGAGGAGGGGTCTTACATACAGGTTGTGTTTAAGAAGAGATCCTATTTACAATAATGCCAGAAAACATTATTGCAGTTTTATTTAGTAAAGTCTTGAGTAAAACAGAAGTTATTATTATAAAGAATACTATTAGATATTGTGATTATTTGGGATATGGATACTCCTTCCATTTTGTTTAAAGAGAACCTTCAAATTTAAATCAGAATATTCTAGTTTTGGATGCTCTATATTATGGTGATTATTCTACTCTACAATTCGAATCAAAATCAATTTTGCGAGAGATTAACAAGGCTTTCATAGGATTTTCATTATCTTAATCAGCAAAAGAGGAGGACTTTCTGCTACCAATATCAACAGGAAAGTGGGGTTGTGGGGCGTTTAGAGGAAATTGTGAATTAAAAACACTGATTTAACTTATCGCCTTTAGTGCATCGAGAAAGAGAATAGATTAACAAAGAAGAATGATATTTTCTACTTTCGAAGATGAATAATTGTAATTTTACAAGAGAGATATTGATCTCATAATTGATAAATACAAAAGTGTAGGTAAACTATTCCAATAATTATTGAATATCACCGATCAAAACAATGTGTTTAAGTATTTATTAAGCTTGTAATGAAATTAAAAATAAATTATGATGAGTGATTCTCTCTATATATAGATTACCACAATATAAATAATATAATTGATCTGTGATTAATGTACTAACAAAATGTCATATTGATCATTTTTATTCTTCCTCATCTTAGCCTACATTGAAATACTTCAATTAGTATGTGGATTTGTCAAGTGAGTGCACATACAAATATTCTCTCAAGGTTTCTTATTTCAAATATTTCTTTGTTAAATATTTGAGGTATCTCTTAGAGAATGGGATTGTGGATGTGACAACAACTTTCTCTTATTCGGCAGAAACAGTGACATCGTTACCAAGATTTCCGGTCTTTCCTTAAACCTTGATTCTGGATTGAAGGTAACTCACAAATTCATCCAAGTTCAAAACCTATCATAGGGAATTATGCCACTATGAATTACTTTATCTTCCTTTGGTTCGGCGCAGTCAATGATGAATTTCAAGTTCAAATTTTTGGCTTTCTATTGATCCTTTCTTCTCAAAATAGGCATACTTAATAAAAGATATTAAATTTATTTAAAATTCACACTTTTCTTTTTGATAAATAATCAAAAAATCAAATACAAGTATGAAAAGCATATTGGGTGTTGGTATATTATTTGTATTAGGATTTTCTTTCCTTCTAAAGTATTATCCTTTAAATTTTTAGCTAAAAATTTTTAATTTATTTCCTAACTATTATATCGCTCAGGAATTGAAAAATCAAAATCATTACATACTTATCATTTTGTTATTCTTGAAGTTAATCTCTTCTTATAGATAAACTAAATATTGAATTACAAATTCTGTAATAAACCTAGGTTACTCTTATTTGCAATAACACTTGAACTCTAGAAGTTATTGTATCACACTTAAATTACTATTTATAAATAATTATAATATAGTTTGAAGGAGGATTAGTTTCAATATCAAGCGATGTCAAATATTTGTGACTTTTGATATGATAGCTGATACATATTTTAGGTGAAATTGAATTGGAAAAATTGTAATAGTACTCGAACTATCTATCCTTTTAAGTAGATTATAAAATGGTTGGATAATTAAAGTAAATTAGGTGTTCATATTAGTGTATTTAATATTGAGTATGGTTTATTTTAATTAATATTAAAGGATTTAGGTAAAATTCTGGTTTAATGTAGCTTACTTTAAATTATCATATTATTTAAATATGTATGTATTGGTAGAAATCAGTAAGAATTATTAAGTTGATGAATAATTTTAAAGTCTTCTTTACAATCAATTAATAATTAAATTAGCAGAGTTTTCTAATCTTAATGAAAAGTTCTCAAAAATATTGTAATTTGGGATAATTTTTAGACAACAATCATTTTATACCAACTCTGACTTCTTGCACTAACAAATTATGCATGAAATCTTAATTATCTGCTCAAGGCTGCAGAAAAATATCCATTCATGACGAAATAGTACAAAGAAAGTAGGGTAGAGGAAAAAACTTATTGGAAGTCTCATAAGATGATGTATGATTTTTGAATTATAGCAAGAAACTGTTTCAGAAAGGGGAAGGAAGCATCCATTCTTATAGGAGTCCAAGGAACTGTTTTACTAAGGGCAAAACATTAGTAAGTCAGACTGAGTTAGCGAAGAAGGTCAGTCCAAGGTTGCTATCTCCAAAATAATAGAAGGAAGTAATTGAATATTTACAAAAATAAAATGAAGAATTGGCTCTAGAGAACAAACAAAAATAATAAATAATAAATAGATTAATAGAATCTGGTGACCATACAATAAATACAAACAAAATTCATTCACCAAAAAAGGAGGAATTTTTACCCCAAATTCCAAAATCAGTGGAATCATAGAGAAATAGGTTAAATGATATTAGATTTCCATAAATTAAAACACCAGAACCCTATATTGAACATAGAATAACAAAAAAGAATGTGATAAACCAAAACACAAGTAATGAATAGTAAAATATATTCAATGTAAGTTTTGGAAATCAACTGAATTTAAATGAAGGAACACATCAGCAAAATAATTAAATTCCTTGTTTAAATTAAAGATTTATTCCTCTCAATAAAAAATAGTCACATCCAATACAAACAGGAAAAAAATCACATTTTTCAAAATTATTATTAAAGTTACCTTAAGAGTTTCACTTAAGTAGCGAAAATCAAAAGAAGTAAATCTGAAATTTCAAATAGGTTTTAAATTAAAGATATTGATTATAAATTATAAATTATGATAAAATCTCTATATATCATTTAAGAGTTCGTTTATTTTATATCAGTTTTCTATATTCAATAACAATCACTCGTCATCCCAACAGAAATTCTTTATTAAAAAGATTATAACGAAATAATGTAGGAATGTTTGAATATGTGTGATTTATATATATATTGATTTATCATGCTTCTCCTTCTTCACCTTCTCCTTCAGCAGTTTCAATACCGACTTCTTCATAATCCTTTTCTAAGGCAGCAAGATCTTCTCTGGCCTCAGAGAATTCTCCTTCTTCCATACCTTCACCGACGTACCAGTGGACGAAGGCTCTCTTGGCATACATAAGATCGAATTTGTGATCAAGTCTGGAGAAGACTTCAGCGATGGCAGTTGAGTTGGAGATCATACAAACAGCTCTCATGACCTTAGCCAAATCACCTCCTGGGACGACTGTTGGTGGTTGATAGTTGATTCCGACCTTGAATCCTGTTGGGCACCAGTCGACGAATTAGATGGTTCTCTTTGTCTTGATGGTGGCAATGGCAGCGTTGACATCCTTGGGGACGACATCACCTCTGTAAAGCATGGAGCAAGCCATGTATTTACCATGTCTTGGATCACACTTAGCCATCATGTTTGCTGGTTCAAAGGCTGAGTTTGTGATTTCAGCAACTGACAATTATTCGTGATAAGCTTTTTCAGCTGAGATGATTGGGGCATATGAGCAAAGCATAAAGTGGATTCTTGGATATGGGACCAAGTTGGTTTAGAACTCAGTGATATCGACGTTCAAGGCACCATCGAATCTCAATGAAGCTGTCAATGAAGAGATGACTTAGGCAATCAATCTGTTCAAGTTGGTGTATGTTGGTCTTTCAATATCCAAATTTCTTCTGCAAATATCATAAATGGCTTCGTTATCCAACATGACACAGACATCAGTGTGTTCCAACAATGAGTGGGTTGACAAGATGGAGTTGTATGGTTCAACGACGGCGGTTGAAACTTATGGTGATGGATAGATGGTGAAACCCAATTTAGATTTCTTACCATAATCGACTGACAATCTTTCCAATAAGAGTGATCCCAATCCTGATCCGGTACCTCCTCCGACTGAGTGGAAGACCAAGAAACCTTAGAGACCTGTGCAGTTATCAGCTAACTTTCTGATTCTGTCTAAGCACAAATCGACGATTTCCTTTCCGATGGTGTAGTGACCTCTGGCGAAGTTGTTGGCAGCATCTTCCTTTCCTGAAATCAATTATTCTGGGTGGAATAATTATCTGTATGTTCCTGTTCTGACTTCATCAATAACTGTTGGTTCCAAATCCAAAAAGACAGCTCTTGGGACGTGCTTTCCTGCACCAGTTTCTGAGAAAAAGGTGTTGAAGGCATCATCTCCTCCTCCGATAGTCTTGTCTGATGGCATTTGACCATCTGGCTGGATTCCGTGTTCAAGACAGAACAATT